ACCACCACTACAAGCTTCACCATGCCAGCTAGCACTCCTCTTCACCCCAGGACCACCATCCAGAACTGTGACCCAGATCTAAGCAGGGGCAAAGCAAGAGAATCCTGCACCAGCAGAGAGATCCCTGCAATCCCCTTATGATCAGCCACTTGATTCCCCCTCAGTCTGTGGGCCAGAAGCTCAGGAAGCAATCACTGCCCTTGGGGAATGGGGTTAGGACCCCGCGCTTCTCTTTCAACACCGAAGAAACAGACTTTCCCACTGACCTTCTAAATTGTCTTTGGCATTCATGGGTTGAGAAGACTGGAAACCACCACAGCTGCCCATGATTCAGTCCTCTGAGGCCTGCTCCAGGTTCACTGTGATCTGTGCACCCACACCACACTGGGCTCCTCTCCCCAGCAGGCGCGATATACCTTTCTGATCAACCATCCAGGCTGTCTTTGGCTGGAAATTTGTTTCACTCTGTCTTGTTGTGGGTTCTGCTACTTTAGAGTTTGTTTAGAGCCATTTTTTATAGGTATTTTGAGGAGTTTGGGGGAGAACTGAAACAAGTCGCTGCTTTTACTCTGCCATCTTGGCTCCACCCCCCCCCAGCTTTTCATTTAACTGCAGCTTTCTTCTGTCTTCTGTTTTCATTTATAAGGAGAATGTCAAGATTGATATAATTCAGGTCCCCCAGTAGTATGTTCCCTCATTGATAGTCTACAAGAATCTCATTGTTAGAGTACCAAGAGGGCTCTGTAGTCCAAAAATAACCCATATTTAACACAGGATGGCTGGGGAGTCTATGGTTCTGGGAGATTGGTGAAGACAAATAATGAAGTGCCTCGGAGCATGGGTAGACATTCCATAACTGGGTTCCAGTCTGTTAACCACATGGTTAAGAGAAGTTTTTCAATTAACTGTGTGGCCAGAACCTCAAATACCTTCAAAAGGTACTAGTCAACCAGAACCTTGACCATTTTTTTAGTTATTCTCTTGGTGGATTTCTGCTTTTAGTTTTACTCTTTTGTGATAGCATTTCACAAAGAAGTAAACAAACTATCACAAAACTTTGTGGTAGTTTTACTCTTTTGTGAGAGACTGCTCTGCGATGGGCCTGATGCCAGCCAGTCATATGGTAGTTTGGCTTAATATAGGAACAGAATGAGACACCCAATCATTCAACAGTTTTTTTAAAAAATAGATTTACTTAATTATAACAGGATAAGGATGTTCAGCAAAGACAGTCATTGAGAGCCCATGAAATTAATTCAGCTGAATTAATGCTGACTTCAGCAACTCCCTTGCTTGAGTTGCCCATTGTAATCCACTAACCAAGTATCAGAGAACTCCTTAAGCTCCTATTGGCTGCTCAAGACAAGAAAAAGTGATGTTAACAGCCTGAGCCAATCAAGAGTCAAGGATGGTCTCAATACCTTTTAAGAAGAAAATGAGCCTAACATTGGGGGGGCAGGGAGTGTTAACATATTGTTTTTTCAACAGAGCCATAAGGGGAGAAATTTTGGGCCTTCTCCCTCCAAGGCTTCTATGGCTCTATGAAAACAGGCCTTGGTCCTTTGCCTTGCTATTTGTTCTTTCATTTTAGGTGAATAGATTAATCTAGAGGCTCTGACCTTGTGAATTTTAAAAGGTCACTTCCTCCAGGAGTCCAGGACTCTGAGAGTAAGAATCCATGCTGGGTTTTTCAGCCCCTCAGGAGCAAAAATTTAGGAACTCAGCCCAGCAATAGCTAAGATGTAAATTTGGTGAGATTAATGAATGTGAACTTGGTGGAACTGAAGAATCAGTGACTTGTAGAAATAGTGTTAAGTTTGAGCCCATGCTCCCCAAAGAACAAGATGATATAGGGGACAGTGTGACCCCAAGGTATTGGGGTAAAATATCTGTACTTTTATTATTGCTTTATCTTTGAATTAAATATCCTTTTGAAAAAGCTAATTGATATTAGATGGAACTTGAGTACTAGTCACTGGTGGTTAACATGGGGGAAAACAAACTGGTAGGGGCTTAAGCCAATAGCATTAGAGAAGATAATTGAAACATTTCAAGGTACCCCTTAGAACTCAGAAGATATACAAAACTATTTTTACTGGCTAAGAAATGGAGTGTTGGATGAGTGGAATAGATTAGGTACACAAGACATAGTAATCAATGACTATAGTAATCTACTGTTTGATAAACCCAAAGACTCCAGCTTCTGGGATAAGAACTCACTATTTTATAAAAACTGCTGGGAAAACTGGAAAATAGTATGGCAGAAATTAAGCATAGACAAACATCTTCCATTATATACCAAGATAAGGTCAAAATGGGTACATGAGTTAGACATAAAGGGTGATACCATAAAAAAATTAGGAGAGCAAGGAATAGTTTACCTGTTAGATCTATAGAGAAGGGAAGAATTTGTAACCAAACAGGAGAAAGAGAACATTATGAAATGCAAAATGGATAATTGTGATTACATTAAATTAAAAAGATTTTACATAAACAAAGCCAATGTGACTGGGATTAGAAGGGAAGCAGAAAGGTGAGAAATAATTTTTACAGTTGGTGTCTCTGATAAAAGCCTCATTTCTAAAATATAGAGAGAACTGGGTCAAATTTATAAGAATACAAGTCATTCCCCAATTGATAAATGGTCAAAAGATATGAACAGGCAGTTTTCAAATGAAGAAATTAGAGCTATCTATAGTCATACGAAAAAGTGCTCTAAATCACTATCAATTAGAGAAATGCAAATTAAAACAACTATAAGGTACCACATCACACCTATCAGATTGACTAATATGATAAAACAGGAAGGTGATAAATATTGGAGTAGATGTAGGAAAATTGGAACACTAATGCACTAATGTTTGTGGACTGATTCAACCATTCTGGAGAGAAATTTGGAACTATGCCCAAAGGGCTATAAAACTGTGCATACACTTTAATCCAGCAATACCACTTCTAGAGCTGAATCCCAAAGAGATCATTAAAAAAAGAGAAAATGACCCACATGTACAAAAAAATATTTATAGCAGCTCTTTTTGTGGCTGACAAAGAATTGGAAGTTGAGGGGATGACCATCAGTTGGGGAATGGCTGAACAAATTGTGCTATATGAATGTAATGGAATACTATTTTTCTATAAGAAATGATGAACAGGCAGACTTCAGAAAAACCTGGAAAGATTTACATGAACTGATGCTAAGTGAAGTGAGCAGAACCAGGAGAACATTGTACACAATAACAGCAACACTGTGCAATGACCAACTCTGATAGACTTAATTCTTCTCAGCAATACAATGATCTAAGATAATTCCAAAAGATTCAAGATGGAATATGCTATCCACATCCAGAGAAAGAACTATGGAGTCTGAATGCAGATTGAAGCACACTATTTTCTCTTTTTTTCTTTCTCATGTTTTTCCCTTTTGTTCTGATTCTTCTTTCACAACATGACTAATGTGGAAATATGTTCAATATGATTGTACATGTATAGCCTATATCAGATTGCATGCAATCTTGGGGAGGAGAGGGAGGGAACAAATTGGAACTCAAAATCTTATAAAAATGAATGTTGAAAAAAATTTTTAATGAAAAAAGAGGAGAAGATGCAGCAGGCTGACTTTGAAATAGTGAGCCAGAGCATACTTGTTACATTTTTTAAAAAATATTCTGAACTTAATGAACACACAAAAGATTATTTCTATATAGTAAGCAGAACCAAAAGATATTCTGTGAAACCATGAATCTTTATTATATAAGTCTTGCTTTTTTAAAACATATAATAAATTCAACATATTACTTTTAGAGTTCTTCCTTCACCTAATACTTCCCCCTCATACATATAGAAATAAAGAAAAGCAATTCTTATAGCAAACAAGTGTAGTCAGACAAAAAAAAGTCATACATTTTCCATGTCCAAAAATGTATGTTTCATTTTGCATCTTGATATGTCTTCCAAAAGATTCATATTTTCTTTTCTGTCCCCATTCAGTAATCACCAGAGACATAGCATATCTAACTTTTCAAAAATTCATTTTAAATCCTTAATTTCTTTCTTGTTTGTCTTTTTGTTATACTTTTCTAGGTCTGAGAGGGGGCACATTGAATTCCTCAACTAGAATAAATGTCTATTTCTTCTTGTAAATCAGTTAACTTTTCCTTTAAGTATTTAGATACTATGCCATTCAGTGCATATATTAAGTATGCATATTGATTCATTGTCTGTGGTGCCTTTAAATATAACATAGTTTCCCCAATTTATCTTTACTCCAGTCTTTTGATTTTTTTCTTGTCTGAGATCATAATTGCTACCCTGTAGTTGTTATTTTTTTTGCTTACCTGAAACCCCTAAAATTTTACTCCAGCTCCTTATTTTAACTCTTGTGAAACTTTGTGTTTCAAATATTTTTTGTAAACAACATATTTCTAAATTATGCTTTCTAATCAATCTGTTACATTCCTCCATTTCACAGGTGAGTTTATCCCATTCATGTTTATAGGTGTGACTGATATGATTTCCTTATATATTTTCCTTTATTTTTTTTTGCCCTCCACCCCTGTTTTTGCAAGTAAGAAATTATTATTGAGAGGGAAGATGTCAACACTATTGGTCTATATTCAATTCAATCTACTTCCTTTCCGTTATTCACTTCTCTTCCCCTCAGCCAGTGCCCAATCTCAGATTCTTATCATTTTGCTCTTTCCTTTTATTCCTCCCTTTCAAACTCCACCCATCAAAGATGGATTTTTTTTTTTTGCTTATGACTAACTCTTTCCTGAATTTACCATTCCTTTTCATTCTGTTCTTTACCCTCCTTATCCCTGCCTGATTTCCTGTTGAAGGAAGATAATGTTGCATTGGGTCTGATGCTGAACTAGATGTAATTTTTGAGGCTTCCTCAAACTCTAAGAGCCTATGATTCTATTGTTCTTTGACCTAGGAGACTGAGAGAAATGGGACCATAACAATATACTTACCTCATCTTTTTCAATGCTTTTTAACAGAATGCTCTCGACTGTTCCATACTGGTGGTGCAAGGTTGGTATTGTGTGGCAAGAATTGGGAGAAGCTAGAAGTCTTGTATGATGCACTTCTTAGTGTAGCAGATCCAAGCAAGGCAAGTCTCTTATTTATTTATTTGTTGTTTGTCCTTCATTCTCAAAGAAGACCAATGACATCAGGAGGGTGATGTCTTGACTTGCAAGTGACTCCTCCAGAGTCATCAAAATCCAGTGGCAAGACATAGGTCAGGATAACTGGCTATGGCCCAGAATGCAGTGGGAAATCCTGGCTTTTTTAAGCTAAGGTCTTTCCCAGGTCTCAGTTCGTCTGAGGCAATACCTATTCAGTAGTTAAAGAGGAGGTAAGAATTCATTTGTTCATTCAACAATCATTTTTCCATGCATATTTTATGCAAGGTACTGTCCTAGGTGCTAGGTGCTAGGAACACAAAGACAAAAATGGAATAAGCTTTGCCTTCCAGTAACATACATTCTTCTGGAGAGAAATACATAAGAAGTTAAGTCAATGCAAAATATCTACAAAGTAAATACAAAGTAAGGCAGGGTGGTATTAACAATCAGCAGTTTCAGGAAATGGGTCATGTAGAAGATAGTATTAAAACTGAAACTTGAGGAAACTTGAGAATTCTCAGGAAGGAAAATTAAAAGGTAGAACATGCCCCTACAAGGGGACATTCTCTGTAAAGGAACAGAGATAGGACATAAAATATCCCACATGAGGAGAAGCAAGTAAAACAGCTTGGCTAAAGTATTAAATATATTAAAGGAAATAATATCAGATCAATCTCAGAAAATGGGTAGAAGTCAGACTGTGAAAGGCTTGAAGGACCTGGTATAAAAGTTTGTATTTTATCCTGAAAGCAAAAGGGACACACTGGAGCTTCTTGAGCAGTGAAGTAACACCATCAGACCTGTGCTTTAGGGATTTTAATTTGGCAGCTATATGGAAGATGGATTGGAGAGGGTGAGACTGGAAGCTGGGAAACCAATTAGGAGGCTACTGCAATAGTACAAGTGTTGGGGACCTGAACTAGGGAGCCAATAAGGTTAAATTATAAACCTTAAAGACAAAATTTTGAAAAAAGCTCCCTTTCCCTGTATTAATTACAAGAAATTCAATAATGTGGTGGTATCTACTCTTTTCATGGCAGTCACTAATTTGAAGGCTTCTTGAAATATATGCATTTCTCTAACAGAGTAAGGGAAGAATAAAGAGCAGAGCTCCTGGTTATGACTGATATTGACACTGATAGCTCTGCTTTTAAGAAGGAAGGGTCTAATGATTTCAACAAGGATCTAATGATTTTGAAAGCTTCAAAAGTGCTTAGATTCAGAAACACCAGAAATTATCTCTACTTTCCCATCTAAAGCAATGATTGGCAGGCAAAAAATACAAACTTAGATCTCTAAAGTACTGATGTACCCTGAAAAGTCACACCCTGGCAAGGTCACTCATATATTTATTCCATCAATGCTGTCTTTGCGGGGCAGGGGGTCCAGGGAGACAAAGGGACATAGCCAGTTACATAGCTAATAAGTAGCAGAGCTGGAAACCCAGGTATTTTACAACTCTCTATGACTCTAAGTTGCAGAAAAAGTTATAATTTGCTTGGTGGAGGCAACTTGCTTACCTAAAAGTTCCCTAAACTAATGAAATAATATGTCCTATCCCTCTCTATCTCTATTTCAAGTGCTTCATCCTGAGATTTTTAGACTTAACATTCAACCATATTATGTCTTCAAAGCCTGATGTATAACTTTTTAAAAAGTATTACCCTCCATGATGACAAATCTTAAAACTCTGAGGGTAGATTTGATTTTTGTTTAAATATCAAAAATTCATTGAGAGCCAAGTCTAGTGAATAATGTGGGTAATGCTATTTGATGCTGATTAAGTCAAAAAACAAGATATTGTAATGAGATCAATTCTTTTATATATGACTGGTAAACTATCTCTCATGATAATTCCCAAAGAAGAGCTCCAAATATAATCTGAACAGGACAAGACTCATTTGAATGAATGAAGTCTAATCTCTTGAAATCCAATAAGCAGTATGGTATAGTCAGAGGTGTGCTGGTAAATGTTTAACAACTGGCTCTCAAAAGATAAGATTTTATTTTAAGTTTAATTCTCTATTTTCTCTTTCACTTTCCTAAGTTAAACAATCAACAAAACAATAAACCAAATCTTGATTTGTAGTGTTTGGCAATTTCCAAGGCATAAATGTTCATATTATAAATTTAACAATTAGTTTTCATTGAGTACAAGTTGTCTCTAGTATAGTATACTTCTGAATATAATGGGGGGAAATCCCAGATAGGAAATCATGAAATTTAGGTATTTTTCTGACTTTTCTACTAATTTACCATGTTATTTTAGACAAGTTAATTTTCTTCTTTGAGTTTTGTTCATCTCATCTAAAAAATCAGCGGCTGGACTAGATGGATGACTTCTTCCTCTGATAGTCTATGATTCTACTACCACCTTGCATTCACATGTGTTCTCTGCTTCTCTGTTCTCTAAAATCAAAAACTTCCTTAATCTCCTCCCTCTTAACAATCATTTCTGACTCTCCTATCTTTGTGTGGCCTTACGCTCCCTCTTGAGTTTAGGGATTTTGAAAAGGTATTTCATAATATTTTTCTGGATTAAATACTTGAAAATGTATTCAAGAATTTTTTTTTTGGAAAATTAATAACGATTCAAGAGAGCAGACAATGAAACATTCCTCTTTCCCCTGGGCAGAAAGATAGGGGTCAACTAGGCCAGATTTTATATAGGGTCAATATATCAGGTATTTTTGCTTATCTATTTTTCTTTGATAATGTTTGATTTGGAAAAAGAAGAATTTTCAAGCAGTAAGCATTCAATAAAATTTTTTCAAGACTATTGCTCTTATTTCCTCTTTTGCTTCCTCTGCCTACAGCAGTTGTGACTATCACTAGCCATGTCTACTGGTGTCCTTCTGCCCCTTTGAGCAGTTTCATTTTACTTCCTGCATCCAATGATGACACCTACTAGCTCATCTAGTTCTTCATTAGCAGAGACACCTTGTGGTGTCCTCAGACTTTCCTCCTCCCCAGGCTGCATCTCCGGTTAGCCTTCACCCCATCTCCAATCCTGTAGCTTGTCAAAGGTGAAAATATTGTTAGAAATGGCTCTGCTGAGGAGAAAACCAAAGAACACCCATGGGAATCACAGATCTCTTCTACTCTTGCTCCCCTTTATAATAATTAATAATAATTTACATGTTGTAGGAGATATCCATGAATATTAAAAATCTTTGCTTTTGGTAAGAAATATGGAAATAATTATAACAAAATGAAAATGAGTTGAAATATAAATGAGAAATGAAAATAGGAGAAGAAATGAAAGAGAATAACAAACCTAGAATAAAATCTTTGGGTCTTTTTGGGAACACAATGTAAGAAAAGAAAGAAGAAATATAAAAGTTGAAACCCTAACAAGTTAAATAAAATTATATACAAAGCAAAAATGTAATGGTTTGCAATTGTGGTTTTGTTAGCCTTAAATATCTCTTTATAATAAATTCATTTTATCTACTCTGACATAATGTAAGCTCTTAGATAAATATTATATACATAATAAATATATTTATAATAAAAATGAACCCCCCCCCAAAAAAAGAATATTGCTCTTGAGCAAGGAATAGTTTACCTGTTAGATCTATGGAGAATGAAAGAATTTATGACAAAACAAAAGATAGAGAACATTATAAAATGCAAAATGGATAATTTTTATTACATTAAATTAAAAAGATTTTGCATAAACAAAACCAATGTGACCGGGATTAGAAGGGAAGCAGAAAGGTGGGAAATAATTTTTACAGCCAGTGTCTCTGATAAAAGCCTCATTTCTAAAATATAGAGAGAACTGAGTCAAATTTATAAGAATACAAGTCATTCTCCAATTGATAAATGGTCAAAAGATATGAACAGGCAGTTTTCAGATGAAGAAATTAAAGCTATGTATAGTCATATGAAAAAATACTCTAAATCACTATTGATTAGAGAAATGCAAATCAATACAATTCTGAGGTACCACATAACACCTATCAGATTGGCTAACATGACAAAACAGGAAAACAATAAATGTAGGGAAAGATGTGGGAAAATTGGAATACTAATGCATTGTTGGTGGAGTTGTGAACTGATCCAACCATTCTGGAGAGCAATTTGGAACTATGCCCAAACCCAGCAATACCACTTTTATGTCTGTATCCCAAAGATATTATAAAAAAAGGGAAAAGGACCCACATGTACAAAAATATTTATAGCAGCTCTTTCTGTGGTTGGCAAAGAATTGGAAATTGAGGGGATGCTCATCAATTGGAGAATGGCTGAACAAGTTGTGGTATATAAATGTAATGAAATACTATTGTTCCACAAGAAAAGATAGCAGGTGGACTTCAGAAAAACCTGGAAAGACTTACATGAACTGATGTACTGAGTGAAGTGAGCAGAACCAGGAGAACATTGTACACAGTAACAGCAACATTGTGTGATAACCAACTTTGATAGACTTAACTCTTCTCAGCAATACAAGGATCTAAGACAATTCCAAAAGACTCCTGATGGAAAATGCTATTCACATCCAGAGAAAGAACTATGGAATCTGAATGCAGATTGAAGCATACTATTTTCTCGACTTTTTTGTTTCTTCTTTCTCATGGTTTTTCCCTTTGGTTCTAATTCTTCTTCACAACATGACTAATGTGAAAATATGTTTAATATGATTGTACATGTATAGCCAATATCAGATTGCACATCATCTTGGGGAGGGAGGAGTGGAGGGAAAGGGAGAAAATTTAGAAATCAAAATCTTATAGAAGTGAATCTTGAAAACTAAAAACAAATAAATTTAATAAAAAAGAATATTGCTCTTGAATCTCCAGGACACTACCAGTTACATTTATTATCACTGGTCACTCAAAGGACAGAACTAGATAGAAGTTGCAAGGAGGCAGATCTTAGCCCAAAGTAAAGGGAAAAAATTCTAACAATTATCCAAAAATATAATAGACTACCTTGGGAAGTGGTGAGCTCTCCATCATAGGGATCAGAGGTTAGATGACCAGAGACAGGATGTTATAAAGAAGATTCCTCCCTCATACACAGGTTGGACAGGTGTACCACTCTAGTCACTTTCATCTCTGAGATTCTGTGGTAGAACATTGAATTTGGAGTCGGGAAGTTTGGGTTCAAGTCTTCATGCCCACACTTACTAGATGTGTTAATTGTGGAAAAGTTTTTCAACCTCTCATTGCCCTTAGGCAACTTTTTAAAACTATAAGTCACACATGATTAATATGGAATTATGTTTTACAAGACTGCATACGTATAATCTATATCATATTGCTGGTCTTCACAAGGAGGAGAGAGGGGAGGGAGGGAGACAATTTGAAGCTCAAATTTTTAAAAACCTAATTTTAAAATTTGTTTTTACATGTAATATGAAAAAAACTGTAAATTACTGATCTGCATTGATGGAGAGAAAGGGAGAACCCCTTTCCATGTGAGGGTTCATTACATTGATGAAATTATAGGTCGGAACCCCACAAAAAGAACAACAACAAAAATCTACCATACAGAATTGTTGTGAGGCTTAATAAACTGTAAAGCATTATAGAGAGGTGAGATGTAAGTATGACTTACGGTGAAGTATTGGTCTAATCAGTTGTCTCCTTAAGGTCTAGTCATTCTCTGTGGATAAAAATACTTGTTTCTCTGGATGGGAAACTATTCACATGCCGATCCTATCTTTTTTATTTGTTCCTCAGACATTTACACCAAAGCTGGTCCTCTTGGATCTGTCAGACATCAGCTGTGTCCAGGATGTTGCCAAAGAAATCTTAGATTGCTATGGCTGTGTGGACATTCTTATTAACAATGCAAGCATGAAAGTGAAAGGCCCTGCACAGAATATTTCCCTGGATCTTGACAAAAAGATCATGGATGTCAACTACTTTGGACCTATCACATTGACCAAAGGTATTGTGACTTAGACCTTTTCCCCAAGAATTCTCAGTCTTTGATTCTGAGGAAATGGCTCTTTCTTGTAAACACCCTGGTGACCATCCATTTCCTCCTTCCTTTGGAAACAATCTCAGTTCACAGGGTAATGACAAAGACTTTAACATGGTATTCAAAAATACTAGATGCACACATCCAATAGGATAGAAAAGGTTAGAATTCAGGAGTCCCAGGATCTACTCACAGCTCTGTCACTAGCTTGCTGTCACTTTTCTCCATCTCTAAAATTAAAAGATTGGACTATTTATCTTCAGCCTTCAAGTCGTGATTTTTTCATCCATCCATTCATTCAACAAATATTTATTAAATGACTACTGTGGGTAACAATGTAGGCACAGAGGAAGACAAAAAGATAATTAAGAAAAGTCCCCTGCCCTCATGGAGCTTACTTTCTAGCAAGGGTGATATAATACAAATTCTATATAATTAGCATGTACATATATACCAAAGATCTGTAATTTTGTTCACTGGAAACCCCATCCATCAAAACAGATCACATCCCATCTATAATTTAGCAGATAAGTCTTAGAGAGTTTATGAAGGTTCAGAGTTGTGAATTGCCCATGATGATAATGCTAATTCCTGACCCAGAAATAGATTAAATGTTAAAATCAGATTCTGAACTAATTGAATGACCAGTTTCAAAGAATAGTTGTTAATGGTTCTATGTCAATGTAGCTAGAGGTCTTCAATGGAATATGTCTGAGATCTGTGCTTAACATTTTTTAACACTGACTTGGACAAAAGCATAGATAGCATGCTCATCAAATTTGTAGGAGACACAAAGTTGGGAGGAATAGTTATACAGGGAATGACAGGATCAAGATCCAAAAGGATCTTGACAGCCTAAACAATTGAGCAGAAACTAATAAAATGAGCTTCAATGGGGATAAATGTAAAATTTTACCCTTCAGATAAAAAAATCAACTTTACAAATATGAAAAAAGATGGCATTGTTAGGTAGCAGTTTATCTTAAAAAGCTCTAGGTTTTTAATGGACTGCTGGCTCAATATGAGTCACAAGTATGATGAGGCAGCCAGAAAAAGATAGTTCTATTTGGGGCTACATTAAGAGAGGCATAGCTTCCAGGAATAGGGAGGTGGCATCCCACTGTACTCTGTCCTTGAAAGACTTCATCTGGAGAACTGTGTTCAGTTCTGATTATCAAGGTTTAAGAAGAATATCAACAAATGGGATTTTCCAGAGGGAGCAACCTTGAGAGTGAAGGTCCTTGAGTCCACATAAGAGGACTGTTGTGGGAACTGGGAATGTTTATCCTGAAGGAGAAAAAACTCAGGAGGAACACAAGAGCTGTCTCCAAATATTTGAAATGCTATTATATGGAGGAGGGATTAGATTTGTTCTGCTTGACCCCAGAGGGAAGAACTAGGAGCAATAAGTAGAAGTTGCAAAGAGGTCTATTTGGACTTGATGTCTAGAAAAGCTTCTTAACAATCAGAACCTCAGAGCATGGAAGGAGCTACCTTGAGAAGTGACAGTTTCTCCTTTCTTGAAGATCTTCAAGCAGTGGTTCAACTGCTATTTGTTAGGTATTACAGTGAGAATTCTTTTCAGGTATAGATTAGGCAAGAATGCCTCTAAGGTTCCTTCCAACTCTATAATTCTATTATTATATAATTATTACACATTACTCAAATCTGTGCACTCGATGGTCCAAACATACTACCCAAAACTGCTGGCTGTCCTGATCTTCCCTCCTTTCCTTCCCCCTCACCCCTGTCCCCTGTGCCTAGAATGCTCTGCCTCCTTCTCCCTGCTTTTTGGAATCTCTATTTTCCTGCAAGACTGTACTCAGCACTTTCTGCAAATGGCCTTTCCTGGTTCCACAGAGCAACTAGTGCCCAAGGATACCTTGCATCTGATTTATATATATATTGAATGCATTTATGTATATGCATATTACCTCCCCCCCCATTCAAACCTAAGTTCCTTGAGTTAGATTTTGTTTTGCTTTTGCCTTTATATCCCTAGCACCTAATACTAACACCTTGGAAGATCAAGAAACACTTGTAGGGGGTGGTGCTTGAGTGAGGGACCTCCTATAAAAAGCCATGGAAGTGGAAACTAGAATAATGTATACTGGGAAGAGCATAGCATATGCAAAGGAGAGCAATTTAAAATATATCTGGAAAGGTAGGCTGGAGACAGGTTGTGAAGAGTTTTTAAAGCCAAGGAGAGGAGGGTGTATGTTATTCTAGGGGTAAAAAGGACCATTAACCTTTTCTGAACAGGTAAATGACACAGAGCAGTGGCTGCATTAGTGATCAATTAATTAGTAAATCAGTCAACCAGTATTCATTAAGTGACAACTGTATACCTAAGCAGCTTCATGCATTTCTCCTGGAAGGCTGGGATTCTTAAGGGATCCATGAACTTCTTTGTATTTGGTAAAGGTTTTTTGTAACTGTATGTCAATATAATTTGTCCCCTTATGCGTTTTATTTCATGCATTTAAAATATTATTCTGAGAAAGGGCCTATAGGCTTCACCAGATTGTCAAAAGAGTGCATGACACAAAGAAAGTTAAGAATTTTTGCTTTAAAGGAAAGAACACTGGACCTGGAGGGAAGACATGGACTTGAGTCATGCTCTGACACTCATCTCCTTCATTGTATCATCTTGCAACACTTCAGATGTCATACTTTAACACAAATGCCATTGGCTCCCTCCATCTAGGTGCCATGCCCATGCTCCCATTCAACAATCACTTTCAGTTGTATTAACAAGTCATGAAGAAAATTTTTCTGTTACTGTTCTTCCACAGGCTACTGACCTTTATAGCACTGGACCTGCACCACTGCTGGGGCAAAAGTCTAACATTAATCTATACCTATAATCATGTGACAGTGTAAAGTCCAGAATTCTCCCACCTAGGGAATCCTGCCTCTCCCTCCCAAATAGTGGGACAAATTTGATACCAAAGGAAGAGTCCAAGGAGCTCCAGATTGATTATAGGTAGTAGTTTAGTCATTTGGGTTACTTACATTAAGGGCCAGTATGAGGGATCTCTGCAAAGAGTTCAGATAATCAATGGTCTGGAGTGGTGGCCAGACCAATGGAGGATCCCCTGCAAAGACCCCAGGAAAGCCCAGTGGTAATTATAGAAATTAAACAAAGGGAGGAGGAGCCATAGAGTACATCACTATTGATTGGTGAATATTTGGAGTTTGTGCTTAGTAATGAGCTCATTTCTGAGCTTGGCCATTAAGCCAATGTTGATGGGGAAATGCCAAACACAGGATTCTGTAATGCTCAAAATGTGCTAGTCACAAACTGGTCACCACATTCCTGGTGGTTGTTATTGGACACGTTATCTGAGTTATGACTCAGTGTCTAAATTATGATTTTTAACAAGTCACCAGGTGTGGGCTTCTACCTTTCAGAGTTTAAGTCAATGGCTTTTCACTTCCTACTATGTATTATGACTTTTTCCCAATCAAGACCCCTCGGGCAAATACTGTTAAAAGGAAAATTCTTTGTTGAAGCTTTCACCTTGATTAAAGAGGCAAAACTCAGAGAAAAGAAAATTAAGAGTTTATTAAAAAAAAATACATCAAGTAGCAACAAGTTAATGGGCTAATTACTGGAGATCAGCAAGGGTTTCAAGATAGAGCCAACTTTTATTAATAATTTTCATAATAAGATGAAGACAATTCCAATAGGTTTGGGTCAGCAAAAGAGGATGGACATTGCATCTCAGTTTCTCTCCAATTGTCTGTATGTGATGTTTAACAGGTACAAACAGGTAAGGAGTGACTTGCTACAATGAATAGCAGGTAATAAAAAAGCTGCAGTCTGGGTGACACCTTCCCCAACACTGATTGATGAGCAGGTCTGGGAACAATGAATCACTGAGTCAGCGTAACTTTCAATAATACTTACTAATAGTGTAACCCTGAGCAATTCACTTAATTTCTCTTAGCCTTAGTGTCCTTATCTATAAAATGAAGATAATAATAGTGCTTCATAGAGTTGTTTTAAGGCCCAAATGAGATAATACACGTAAAGCACTTCGCAAACCTTAATGCATGAGAGGTAATATAATGTGATAGGAAATGCACTGGTCTTGGAGTCAAGAATGCCATCCACTACTTACTATGTTACTTTGGCTAAGTCACTTAATTTTTGTGAGGCTTAATTTTCTTATTGTGACATATGAAAAGTTCAAGAGACATAATTTCTGGGTGATTATCAATCATTTTATTAATTTATTTAGCAAATAGTTAATAAGAGGATGGTCATTTGACTTTCTCTTATAAACCAAAGATGGATCATGGAGGCCAATCAATGCTTACATGCCCTTGGAAGAGTGGGTGTTCCTGACAGACAGAAATCAACTCTGATTGGCTAACATTTAATGAGAGAATGAATATTATCATGAGGGTTGGGCTTATTCTAATGAGGGGGTAGGTACACGATTTTGATTATGTCACTCATGGACAAGAGAAACTCATCTCAAGCCAGATTACCCCCACCTTGGATAATCTATACAAAAGGATCTATCCTCCACCTAGTCAATGAACAATGAACAATGATGGGATCAGAATTCCACCTAGATAAGATGGTCTGCATGGGGTAAATTTTTGGTCAAGGTCAGAAGTGTCCTGGAGAGACTGGACTTTGAATGAGGAAATAGAAAAGGAAAACCTTAATCCTAATTTAATAATTGGTTATTAATATGAGAGAAATAATAATTTCTCTCCTCAATAGAGATATCATTATCTCTTGTCCTACATAGGCTTGTCCTACTTAGCACGCAGCATTTATATGAGGATAGGTATACATATATGTATTTACATATACATATATGAAGATAATATATATACTATATAAATATTCATTATTATCATAATTTCTATTATATCATTTTGCTGTCATTATTTACAACTTAAGACTTCTTCCTAAGTAAGCTACAGCCACATCTTTCCTCTTTTCTTCTATTTGTGGCCTCATTAATGATTCATGGGCAATCATATACTCTTGGGTAAATTATCTTGAATGTGACAAAGTATTGTACCATTGGCATGAAAATTCATTAGGGTCTAAATTCTATGTTGTTGTTTCGGTCATTTCATTTGTGTCTCACTCTTTGCGACCCCATTTGGGAGTCTTAGTAAAGATACTGGCATGGTTTGCCATTTCCTTCTCCAAATCCTTTTACAGGTGAGGAAACTGAGGCAAACAGGGTTAAGTGACTTGTCCTGGTTCACACAGTTAGTAATCGTTGAGGCTGGATTTGAACTCAGGTCTTCCTGCCTTTAGGCCTGGCATTCCATCCACTGTAGCTGCCAAATTCTACACAGACAGTAAATTAAAGGTATACAGAGTAGTGTCAAACACCAATAAATTACGGAGTCTGTTCTAAGAAAGAGACAATAGGGTACATGTGTCCATGGTTTAATTTCTCTCAAGCTGACTTGACATGCATTACATGAGAGTTCAGTCCAAAACTGAGCTGCCCTAAGAGGGCCAGTTCAGAACTGACTCAATTTGGGATTTGGGGGTACAGGGTTATATGTCCTTTGAAGAGTAAGTGTCCCCAAGGGGTGCCAATCAATCCCTACTGGACAACATACTGGGAGGTGGGCTATATTAAAATAGGTCTTGAGTACTTGACCTAGGTCACTTAATCTTGGTCAACAGGGGCTGATATCACCCACCATCTAGACAGAGGAAATACCACCCCAGTCTTGGGAATCTGTCTTCATCCAAACCTGAACAAATTAGATCAATTCAGGCCTGAGTTAGAGTTTGACCAGGATAAGCTTATTATCAGTAAGGTCCTTGTGAAGAACTTTTCAGAAGGGCCTGGCTGGGGGAAGCTCTGAGAATCATTTTTCACTGTAGATACCGACACCAATTTTACTCAGCATAGGGAATAAATTTTAATTAAAGATCCTTTGGTTACAGAAAATAATAATGATTCATTTTTCTTTTTTTTATTCATTTTTCTTTAATCTTCTAAGTTTACAGCCTGGGACCTAGTTGTTCTTAGCTGTCATTTTCTAAACTAGTTGACTGTGCTCATCCCCTGCTTAAAGGGACCTTAATGCCTTAATGTGGGAGTTCTTAACCAATGAATCCATGGATAAATTTCAGAGGGTCCATGAACTTGGAATGGGAAAAAAATTACATCTTCATTTTCACTAAGCTTTAACTGAAATTTATTATTCCCTTCAATTCTTTAAAAACATTGTTTTAAGAAGGGATCCATAAGCTTCACCAGACTGCCAAAAGATCCATGACAAAAGAAAATTAAGAACCACTGCCTTCAGGTATTACCTCTCTTAAGGATATTAGCATTTACTAGGAAAGTCCTGAAGACCACAAAGCCAAGAAAATACAAAATGGAATACGTATAATGGTACAATTTCAGATACTGGAAAAAGTGGGTAAAAGAATTTGTAAGCAAGAGATCATTCAACCATTCATCAAATTACATCACATAACTGACCATTTAATCCACTAACCCATAAAGGTGGAGGCTAAAACATACAATCACAGTTTATCCATGTTTCACAAAGGAAACCATTTTCCCATTTACTCCATTATTTCATGGACTACTGGGCCTTCTCATAATGATTTCTAAGACACACAAGAGTTTTTGATTTGTTTGTTTTTTTTGTTTTTTGTTTGTTTGTTTTTGACATACAGAGAAGAAACACCTAACTTCTTGAGGATTATGCTTTTTAAAAAAAATGCTTTTATTAAGTGCCTACTATGTAATATGTGGGCAGCTAGGTGGCACGGTAGAAAGAATACCAGGCCTGGAGTCAGGAAGATGAGTCTTCCTGAGTTCAAATCTGGCCTCAGACACTTACTAGCTGTTTAACTCTGGGCAAGTAATTTAACCCTGTTTGCCTCAGTTTCCTCATCTGTAAAATGAGTCAGAGAAGGAAATGGCAAACCACTCCAGTATCTCTGCCAAGAAAATCCCAAAAGGGGTTACGAAGAGTTTTACACAATTGAAACAGCTCAACAACAAAAAACAAAATGCACTAGACACTGTGCTAAGCATTTTATAAATGTTACCTCATTTTATCCTCACAACAATCCTAAGAGGTAAGTGCTATTAGTATCCCTATTATGCAGATGATGAAATGGAGGCTCAGAGAGATTAAGTGACTTACTCAGAATCACACAGCTAATAAGTGTCTGAGGCTGGATTTAAACTCGCTTTCCTGACTCCAAGTCCAGAGCTCTATCTACTGCACCATCTAGCTGCCTTCTCTCTTAGTCTTATTCTTACGCTATTCATATCTTATTCTTAGCCAGGAAGGAAACTTATAGGTAACATTTGGTAACTATAATGAGGACATTTATTTCAGTGCAGCTGATGTTTCTGTATTTTGCAGCCCTGCTTCCCAACATGATCTCCCGAAGAACAGGCCACATCATACTGGTCAGTAACATTCAGGGGAAATTTGGAATTCCACTTCGAACTGCATGTAAGTTGCTAAACCAAAATGTCGGACTATGCTTGACTGCAAACTGAGATTTGCAGAGCCAGGATGTCTTTTAGTCCTCTGGGGTCCAAACATTTTTGAACATGTAAAAATACTTTTTGTTTGTACCCTAATATACATATATTATTCAACTACCATATTATGTACTTCATAAAATATTTAAAATTAGAGTAATTTAAAGGGATGAAAGAAATGTTTTAAAATAATTTAAAGTTATTTATTAGAAGTATAAAAATCCTTTTTATAGGATTATAAAAACTAAAAAAAGTATTTTAGTTAAACCAATGGGACTAAACATGCCTCATTAGTTTTAAAAATCTTAACCTTTTATGATACAGTGATTCAAAGGTCTTATTCTGAATTAATTTTATTTTGACATGGCTTTAATGTCTATAACAACTGAAAAAGGATTTCACAAAGACACATAGATCCAAATGGAAGAAGTGTATTTATCATTGGCTTTGTTTACTAAATCATGATACTCTTTTTTTCAATCCCATTCACTAATTATGCAAAAAAATTTTGATTAAATTAGTCTAGCAAACTTCCATTTTCCTTGATTTTAGGGCCCAGGGGTGGGAATGGGGATAGCATATGGTCTCAGAAGATCAAGAGGCAGGTCCAGGGGTCTACCTGTTCCAGGTTAGGGAGGAAATGCTGAAGCAGGACAGATTGCAAGATGCCCAGGTAGGCTCTGGTTTCCTGGTCATGAATGACCTTTATTTGCTTCTAAGCTGTTCAGTAGGTTTAAGGGACAGAGCTGTCTTGGGCGCAGGGTTGCAGATGTGATAGAGTTCTGTTCTTGGCTACTTGAATCTCAGTCCCACTGGTTAAGAGCCCAGCATAGGTAGGGAATAGCTCCCTGCCTGCTTGCATGTCTGCCTGGAGAGGAGCATTCCTGGACAATCATCCCCCCAGAGCTCACACTGAGCACAGACAGGAAGGAGAACAGCAAAGGCAGGCAGCAGCTGCAAAAGGATGGAACAGCTGTGCTGCCTTCCTCTGATATTTCAGATTCTGATATTTTAAGTTCTGCTATTTTAGATTCCAGCAGACTGTATTACACATGAAGACTTGTGTCCATTCTACTTTGGAGATTACTGTTTTTGTCATTCATGCTTTCATTTCACAAATATTTGTTGAGAATTTATTACAAATAAGGCTCTATGTTGTGCCTTTTGCAGTTTTCAAAGACTGACAAAAACATTCCTTGCCTCTTAGGAGTTTACAATCTAGTAGGTGAGAAATGATGAAAATATCTCTGACCTCCATCTTCTCTCTATTCTTGCTGATACAGCTCTTGTACAGGCCTCTATTACTACCCACCTGGTCCTATGAAGCAGTCTTCTAACATGCCTTCCTACTTCCAATCTCTCCTATCTGTAATCCATCCTTCACAGAACAAACAGAATCTTTTTTTTTTTTTTTTTTTGGTACAAACCTAGTCATGTCTCTTTTCTTAGAATATTCTGTGGTTCCTTACTATCTGTGGAATAAAGTTCAAACTACTTTGTATAGTAAAGGACTCCATAGCCTAGCACCACCCAGCCTTGCCAGCCTTATCTGATCTCATGGTATTCTACATTCCTGTCAAAGAGGACTCATCTATGTCCACCTCCCCCAAAGACCATATCTTCCTGCCTTTGTATATTTTTCCTTAGTCTGTCTCCTATGTCTGAAATGTCATATTTTTCCCCTTGTTACCTGCTGAATTCCTACCCATTCTTAATTTTTAAATTTTTATTGATAGCTTTTGTTTTACATCATTTTATTTCCCAAAGATATCTTTCTTCCCCTTCTTTAAGAGAGCTATCCCATGTAACAAAAAACTTAAATAAAAAAACAACCAACACATCAACTAAGTATGATAGTATTATGCAATGTCTCATACTAATAAGGAAGGAGGTGCATTTTTTTATTTTGAACTTAACAAATACCAAATAAAACAAATATTTGCATCTACAGAATAGAACAGAAAAAAATATCGCACCTGAAATAACAAATCTCAAATATAGACAGCTTACTTTTATTTTAAATATATATAATTATTTTAACCTTTAACTTTTAAAGCTCTGTGACATATAAAATGCCATAAAACAATAATTGTAGGAAAGCAAATTAAAGCAACTCTAAGGTTCTAGTCACCTCCTGACAGATTAAAATAGTGGATTAAATAATCAGAATGAGACACATAATTTTGCAAATGGTGAATATGGAAATTCATTTTGCTTGCCTTTGGATATTTGTTACAAAGATTTTATTTTCCTTTTTTAAAATAGGGAGATGAAGAAAATGCTTGTTAATTGAAAAAATTAATTTAAAAATAATTTGCATTTCTCTAGTTATTGACTATTTGGGATATTTTTAATGTGATTGTTGATAACTTAGATTTCTTCTTTTGAAAATTGACTTCATGTCCTTTGATTATTTGGCTATTGGAGAATAGCTCCTGTTCTTATAAATTTAAATCAGTTCCTCATATGTCTTAGATATGAGATCTTTATCAGAAAAAAAAAACTTTAGCAAAGATTTTTTGCCTAGTTAAATATTTCCCTCTAATTTTAGCTTCATCGGTTTTGTTTGTGCAAAACCTTTTTAACTTACATGATCAATATTGTCCATTTTATCTTCTGTGACCTCTGTCTTTCATTTGTCATGAAATCTTCACCTCTTCTTAGCTGTGAGAGGATGCATTTATTCCTCTCTTTTTGGAAACCAATCTTGGTCATTATAATTATGTGGTATTTAGTTGTGCTAGGGAAAGACAGCAATATTCTTACCATTTATATTGTCATGGTCATTGTACATATTGTTGTCTTAGTTTATGTTACTTCATTTTGAATCAATTTAAATAAGTATCCCCAGACTTCTCTACATTACTTATATACATCTTTTCTTACAGTAACACAGTAAGATTCTATTCCATTCATTCCATGTATTGCTTAGTCATTCTTCACTTGATGGGCACCTACAGAGATGCTTAATTCTTATTTTATTTCTATTTTCTCTACCAAGAAAAACCACCATTGCACTGGAAAATAACATAAAATAAGACTAACAGGCAATCAATACCCAAGACAAGTATGACCTGGGAGCTTTGAATTTGGCTACAATATTCCTAGAAATTTTCATTTTGGATTTCTTTCAGAAGGTGACTAATAGATTCTTTCAATTTCTACTTTGCTCTCTGGTTCTAAGTCATCAGGAAGGTTTTCTTTTATGATTTCTTCCATAATTTCCTTTTTTTAACAAGATTATTAAATGAGTTGGTGAGGAAGGTGTGGTTGATAGAGTTTTGTTTTGTTCAGTCCTTTTCATTCATGTCTAACTCTTTGTGACCCCATTTGGACTTTTCTTGGCAAAGATACTAGAGAGATTTCCTTCTCCAGCTCATTTTACAGATGAGGAACTGAGGTAAACAGGGTTACATGACTCACCTAGGGTCGCACAGCTAAAAAGTGTCCCAGGCCAGATTTGAATTCAGGAAGATGAGTCTTCCTGATTCCAGACTCAACATTCTACCTACTGTATCACCTAGATGGCCCTAGAAAGAGTTTACCTGAATTTTGAGGAAACCCTTTGATGGAATATCTCATATCATTCTTCTAAAGAAGATGGAAAAATATGAATGAGACAAAAATACAATTAGATGGATTCAAAACTGCTTGAATGACCAGTCTCAAAGAGTAGTTGTTAATAACTCAGTGTTAATGTGGAAGAAGTCTCCATTTTTCCAATGAGGGTCAGTTGCCAAGCATGATTGGCCTTCTGGTGAAAAACATTTTTCAGATTTAGAGATGACACAAAGCTGGGAGGAATAATTAATACTCAACATGATAGTATCAGGATCCCAAAAGATATTGATAGGTGAGATCATTGAGCTGAAATTGATAAGACAGATTTCAATAGGGATAAATGTAAAGTCTTACACTTGAATTTTTAAAAACCAGCTTCGTAAATACAAAATAAGTATAGCATTATTAACAATTTGTTTGAAAAAATATCTGGGGATTTTGGTTGGCTTCAAAGTCCATATGAGACAGCAGTGTGATAGAAAAGCAAAAAAAAAAAAAAAATCATGATCCATTAGGGGAGGCATAGCTTTCAAGGAATAGGAATGTGGTAGGCCCACTGTACTCGGCCCTTGTTGGACTTTATTTGGAGAATTATGTTCAGTTCTGAACATGATAGCATAGAGAAGAGGGAGAGTATCCAGAAGAAGGTTGCACTTTTAAGGATGGTGAAAAGCCTTGAATCCTTCTCAAATGAGGATCAGTTGTAGGAACTAGAGATATTTAGCCTAGAGAATAAAAGACTAAAGGGCAATGGGAGAGGGGACAGGACACAATAGCTATCTTCAAATATGTGAAACACTGTTATGTGAAAGAGGGAATAGACTTTGCTGTGACCCCAAAGAGCAGAACCAGGAGCACAGAGCATGTAGGCTTGATGTCAGAAGACCCTTCCTAGTCAAGAGTTATCCAATAGTAGAATACATTGCCTCTGGAGGTGACGAGTTTTCCTTCCTCATAGGTCTTCATATTGAAGCTGGATGACAACTTATGAGGTATGTTATGGCAAGGATGTTATTATTGTTGCTGTTGTTCAGTAATGTCAGAAGAGTCCTTCATGGCCTCATTGGGGGTTTTCTTGGCAAAGATACTGTAGTGGTTTGCTGTTTCCTTCTCCAGGTCATTTTACAGATGAAGAAACTGAGGCAAACAGGGTTAAATGATTTGCCCAGGGTAACATAGCTAGTAAGTGTCTGAAGCCTGATTTGAACTCACAAAGATGAGTCTTCCTGACTCCAGGCTTGGCACCCTATCCACTGCACCACCTAGCTGCCCTTATGGCAGGGATACCTTTCATGTATGAATTGGGCAAGATGGACACTGAGACCCCCTTCCATCTCTAAATATCTTTCATTCTGTGATACTTAATTGTCAATTCTTTGCATTTACAAAAAAGAGAGAGAGAGAGAG